CCCACTTCGTAGATCACCTCGAAAACTGTTTGAACGTTTGCTTCAAAAACAATTACAAGGCCATGGGCCATGACTGTGCCGTGCACAGTGACTATATGCACTTCGTTCGTCGCGCATCAGCAGCAGAGTGTCGTTGAGCACTTGGTTGAGGTTCAACATTCTACTTGTCAATCGAGGTGGTTGGAAACATTTACAAACTTGCATATATCCCTGGCCCTTGTTGATTGGTACATTTTATAGAGCTGAATGTTGTTTATACTGGTGACTATCAGCTTACCCATTGTGCTATACAACAGATCTACGAAACCCACACGGACAACTATCACCGCAAAACCCCACACCCACCAAAAACACATGGGTAACGTTCCTGCATAAAAGTACATTGACAACCACACATTTTTCACAATGGCGAAAAGTAGATCGACCAGACGCATACACGGATTCACATCCAACACCCAAAAGACCTAAACCCAAAAAAAAGGAGAAATCCCTCGATGCACGCGAAAAGGATGAGCGAGAGGAAGAAGGTAACGAAATACCGTTTTTGGGGGGTAAACTCGCAGAAACTTACGGTTCGAGATTAGATTTAGAACACCCCCTAACAAAAAAAGAACGAAAACATAAAGAATACCAAGAACGACTCGAAAGACTCAACCGAGACTTTTTACACAACAAAGAACGGTACACCCTTTCTCCACTCCCTCCCCCAGCTTTCTTTCCCATTCTTACTTTTCATTAGCATCTTTCAAGATAAACTCGGAACCTTCAAACAAGACATCCAAACCCTCTCCCAAGGAACCCACCCAGAATTCACAGACATTCTCCGCGTATTCGACCAAGATCGACAACAAGCTGTTGATTATGCGGCTTTGTTTAGGGATTACCAGTTGGATTGTGCTAATGTTATTTATCGGCATGAACATGATTCGACTGTGTTGGAGTACAAGGTATGGAGGAATGTCGGTTTTTGTGAAGATCTTTTGTTTATTTAGGGTATTTGGTATTGTAGAAGGAGAAAGAATCATTGCGTGAGAAACTATTGAGTAACCTTGAAGAAAAGAAACGGAAACTAAAAGAAGATCGTGAGAATTTTGATATGCATACTGGTACGTTATATACTTACTCTATCGTTGTAACACTTTTAACAATTTTGGATAGTTGTGGTAGACACCATTGAAGATCAACGCCTTGGAACCCGAAAAGCCACCCGCTCACACGCAGCTAAAACAGATGATAAAAAAGAAAAACGACGAAAAACGCAGGCGTTACCGGGGTTGGTCGTTTTGGCTTCGGATGATGTTGCGTTACAAGATTTGAGTATCATTCGACGGGTGCGTTTTTTATTTTCTTTGCAAAACGGACGTGTGTGTGTGTATTGATTTGTTGTTTATTATTTTTGTTTGGGGTAGGCGGGGTACGCAGCAGCCAAAAAAAGCCTAGTCCCCAAACCAGTACGAAAATAAAATTTACACAAAAACAAAAATATACAGTTTTCGATTCTAAAATGCTTTTATGCACCTTTTTCGGCACTAAACACCGATACACCCACACCGCCCACACAAGCACCCACCACCACCCTCCTTGGATGAAAGGCCAAAGCCGTGACACCCCCCCACGCCCGTCCAGACGATAAGAACCCATCATGATGCCTCGTCATGGCGATGGAGCGGCCAGTAGCTGCCTCCCGTATATCGAGTTTGGTTTTTGTACCCCTGTAAAATACTTTAGTCACACCCCCTAAAATGTTTTCTTGAGCTTTCAAACTTACCATCCAACAAGTCCAACCACTCCATGTATATCCACCACACCCGTATCGTGTTCACCCTCCACAACTCTGTTCGTCCCATGTCGGATATCCCAGAGTCGGATTTGGCCGGTACTGACTGAACAGAATTCAGTTGATTGGTACCCCGTCTTGAGAATCGCGGTAGGGTGGTCCGTGTATGTTTTGACGAGACTATAAAGTGTGAGTGACAAGGATCAAATCAAAATATTGTGCTTTTCTTCGTTTTACCTATCCCGAGAAGGCATCCGCATATCATGCACACCCAAATTTCCATTGTCGTATCCAGCTACAAGGAGGTGACCCCCTTTTTCCAGCGTAAGCGACGTAACCATCGCCTGACTCTTTGTATAAATACTCTATACACAAAATCAGCACACATCCACTTCAAAGTTGTTCTTTTTAGAGACCCACCTGGACACATGACTCTTTTCCGGCATCCCAAACCCGAATAGTCTCCTTCTCACCTCCACACACCAACACTCCAGAACTCTGCTCCCAATCACTCACAAGCGCCGAAAAGGGTGACACGGCCCGAAACGATGAGACCAGCGTCGGAGTCGGTGTATCGTATCCAGAATACAATCGAATCGTCCCTTCATCTACCAGAAAAAAAAAACCATTAAAACTATTTCCAATTTTTAATATAATAAATTAAACACGTACCAGATCCAACCATCAAAATAGAATACTCTTCCTCATTAATAAACCTCAAAGTAGATACACCCGTTCGAGCCGGATGATGATTAAAAAACGTCGAGAAC